CTTAACTTTTGAGCTTGTTAGTCTAAGTTCAGGACTTCAAGACCTATTGTCCTTAACTTTTGAACTTGTAACTTTAAGTTCAGGACCTATTGTCCTTAACTTTTGAGCTTATTAGTCTAAGTTCAGGACCAAGTGTCCTTAACTTTTGAACTTGTAACTGTAAATTCATGATCCATAACGTAACAGAAAATCAAAAATACATCATAGAAATCACAAATCGAAATACATCTACCACCATAATGGCATACGATCAAATTTCATTTTAAGAAAAGCTGTAATTAGTCATTCCTTCTCCCTCTTAAATTTCATTCCTTTCTTTGAACTCACGAACATGGCACCACATCTTTCTCCGTTTTCATCGCTTCTCTTTTTAATAAAAATCCAATTTTTAAATCATTAATTACATTCATAGATCCTTTTGACCCCCAAAACAGACAAATCAAATAAACATGAAAAACCCCACTACTCCATTTTTTCTGTGTTCACTTTATATCAAGACTCAAGTTTTTGCCTTATAATCTGTATCTTTTTGCTTATCTTGTTTAATTTTACAATACCCTTTTGCCTTCTGTTTCAATTTTTTCCTCTCACTTTCTATCAAGACTCTGTTTTTTTGCTCACTTTCTATATATCAAGACTCAATTTTTATACTTATAATCTGGTTTTTTGGCATATTTTGTTTAATTATCAAATACCCTTTTGCCTTCTGTTTCAATTTTTCTTGTTAACTTTCTGAAGGCTCAATTTTTTTGTTCACTTTCAATCAAGACTCAATTTTTTGCTCACTTTCTATATATAAAGACTCAATTTTTATCTGATTTTTTGGCATATTTTGTTGAATGATCATATACCCTTTTGCCTTCTGGTTCATATTTATGCTTTGATGAGGCTATTTCACAGTTCACACTACTACATTTTTTTTTTCATTTTCTCTATATAAAGACTCAATTTTTATCCTTATAAAAACTGAGTCGTTTTACATATTTTGATTAATAATCCAATACCCTTTTGGCTTCTGTTTCATACTTATATGCTTTGATGAGGAGATTTCGACGATGTACGAGGATTTCTATCCTCTCTTTGCTTGCTATATCAGTGTTGACTCCTATTTTTCTGCTTTCTTTTAGGCTCAAAAACCTCAACTCTGATGGTATATATTTTGACTTCTTATTGTTAACTTTTGGATTTTTTGAGGTTTCAGTTTAATCTGAGTTGTGTTTATTTTCATTTTTTGTGCAGTATCAAGAGATTTTGTTGAAGACTTATCAATTCTTGTAAGTTTAGTTTTCTTTAGTTCCATATGTTTTATGTTGTTGCCACTTGTGATTTGTTGACTAATGTTGTTCTTGTTTATTCTTTTGTAATTAAAAAAGATTAGCTTTAGCAACTTATAAAGAAAGAAAAAGCATAAGCTTTTGTATAATTAAGTTGAGTTATGCATCTTTGGCACCATATAATGGAATTAAAGAAAAAAGCATAAGCCTTTGTATACTTAAGCTCAGTTATGCATCTTAGTGTCATGACCCACCACATTATTATGCCACGTAGGTGCCACTTGGCATATATTTTTGCCATATGGAAGGGTTACATAAGTTAGGAAAAAGATCTTGGTGGAATATTCTAGAACTATGCAGAATTTCCTTGGAAATGTTCTAGATATTTATGCACTTGTAGGAAGGTTCTAGAGAAATATAGAGGTTTTCTTAGAAAGACCCTAGAACCCTATAGAATTGTTAGGAAAGTCCTTAGAAGAGTCTAGATGTGTAGAATATTCTAGAGAAGAGACTTAGTTGTAAATATGGAAGGACTTGTAGAACAATTATTATTTACATATTAGCCCCTAGGTGATTATTATAAATAAGGGGCATTCATTTGTAATTCAGGAACCAAGCAAAACAATCAAGTTCTCTATAATACAAAAGCTTCCTTTGGCAATTCTCACGTGTTATAACATTTCTTAGCAATCTTGAGTGTAGTAAGGCTGACTTGGCATAGCAAGAACGTGAGCAGGGTGTGCAAGATCGTGAGCGAGTTGTCAAGTGCCGCACGTTCGCTTAGTTTAAGACTAAGGATGTGACAACGTGGTATTAGAGCAAAGGTTATGACTAAGGAATGTTAGAAAGAATACAAGAGATTGCTAGAAGGAAGTTTTGTAGGGAACCATGGCCGGAATTACCAAGGGCTTGGTACTTGCAGAAGGGATCAACTCGAAGGTCCCTAAGCGAAAGCAGTATGGTGGTGCACGGGCTGCACGCGAGGTGGCAGACTGGCGGAAGCTAAGGGAGCTCCGACAGAGGCCACAATTCGGGAGTATGTACGCGAGTTCACTACCTTAATGCTGCAAATCTCGTCATTGTCCGAGGAAGATTTCCTCTTCTACTTCATGGATAGGTTGCAAAATTGGACAAAGCATAAGTTAAGAAGACATCAAATAGCCAACGTGAATGGGGCCATCGGAGTAGCCTAGTCACTTGTTGACTTCAAGATGGAGCCTGCCAAGTCCAAAGAAGGCAACGCCGAGAGGGATGGGGGAGATCATGATGAGGACAACGGGAAATGCATAGCCGAGGTATACAAGGGTAATGGCAAGGGGCCATCCCATAACGGACAGGGGTCCAAAAGAAACGGCAAGGGGCCGGAAAATGGTAGGGAGTACGTGCCTAAAAGAGGGTGCTATTTCTTTGAATGATCACATCGGGCAAGTGAATGCTCAGAGTTGGGGAAGCTTGCAGCAATGATAGGGAACTTTGCTCAAGCACATAAGGATGACACAGGGGGAATCACCTGTATTGGAGGGATGCGCTTGGAATCTAAGCCGAAAGTAGGGGATTCCAAATCCTATCTTGGCACGATGCAAATGGAGCATGGTGGCAGCAAGAAAAGTTGGACGGACATAGTTGAAGAGGATGGCGAGTTATAAAGTGATGGCATGCTATCAGACTCAGACGATGCACCAAGCAGAGGGTTCAAGTTTGCCAGTAAGGATGGACCATGGAGGGCAGCCAAATAGGGAGTGGAAGCATGGACTCGATGCTTGAGAAGCTGCTACACTTGGTTGAGTCATGGGAAGATTCAGGTCAAGAGCAAGGAGGGGCATCCGATGGGCGGAGGATGGAGGCCATCATTGCTAGTTGTCCAAAGTACAAACGACATAAGAAGAAAGGTAGTCAATACCTTGTGAAATGGGAAGGAGAACCACTTCATAGGGTATCATGGCTAATGTACAAAGATTTTCGATGATGCCAAGGCGATGTGCGCGCGTACGTGTCGATGCTTTGTGCCGAGGGCGGCACAAAATTGGGTGGGGGAGAGTGTCATGACCCACCACATCATTATGCCACGTAGGTGCCACTTGGCATATATTTTTGTCATATGGAAGGGTTATATAAGTTAGGAAAAAGATCTTGGTGGAATATTCTAGAACTATGCAGAATTTCCTTGGAAATGTTTTAGATATTTATGCACTTGTAAGAAGGTTCTAGAGAAATATAGAGGTTTTCTTAGGAAGACCCTAGAACCCTATAGAATTGTTAGGAAAGTCCTTAGAAGAATCTAAATGTGTAGAATATTCTAGAGAAGGGACTTAGTTGTAAATATGGAAGGACTTGTAGAACAATTATTATTTACATATTAGCCCCTAGGTGATTAGTATAAATAGGGGCATTCATTTGTAATTCAGGAACCAAGCAAAACAATCAAGTTCTCTATAATACAAAAACTTCCTTTGGCAATTCTCATGTGTTCTAACATTTCTTAGCGATCTTGAGTGTAGTAAGGCTGACTTGGCATAGCAAGAACGTGAGCAGGGTGTGCAAGATCGTGAGCGAGTTGTCAAGTGCCGCATCTTAGGCACCATATAAACAACAACAAACCTAGTGGAATCTCACATGCTGGTCTGGGGAGGGTAGTGTGTACGCAGACCTTACCTACCCCAGGGAGGTAGAGAAACTGTTTCCGAAAAACCCTCGGCTCGAGAGGATGAATAGAAACAAACAATCTTAGGCACCATATAATGGAAAGAAAAAGAACATAAACTTTTGTATAGTTAAGTTCAGTTATGCATATTTGGCACCATCTAATGGAAAGATAAAGCTGAAATAGATAATGTTTTCTCTTCCTTTGTTGTCCTGCTCCTGTGGATAAGCAAACAGGATCGAAGCGAAGGAGGAATCTACATTTCTTCAACTATTTTCTTGCTTTTCTTTTTGCATAATTGTCTTATTAATGTTATCATACTAAATAGAGAAACAAATATCTGACTGATTTGTTTTATTTTTTTGGGGGCTTGAATTCTACTCTTCAGAAGCATAGAATAGAGGCTCAAGCAAATAGTGCAGTTAAACTGGTAATAAAAAGTTTTGATAAAGCCTACTTACTCTGTGTGAAAGTCTAACCGTGATCACTACTGATGCTTGTAAATCTTTGTACGTTGTTTCTTTAGGAAGAAGTTGTAGGCCTAAAAGAACCAACATTGGTTGTGTACAGAGATGGAGAGCATAGCTCTACAGTCAGTTCAGGTGAGAACGATAGGCTTGACAAAGCAGAGAATTTTAACTTTAAATGCCTTTATCCCTTTTTTCCTTCATTTCTGTGCAGCATTTAACTATACTCTCAATTACAGGAACCACATATGGTGGCGAAGAAAAAAATCAACAAAATCTATCTGAGCAAAAAGTGTCCTCATCAAGAGAAAAGGTATTTTTCTGTTTAGCAATCTATTGCGTGTTATAGCTGAAGATAGAGGAGGCTATAATTTCCTATCTCGCGAGAAATTATAACTTTCATCACTTAGTACTTAACAAGAACGCCCTTCATGTTGGTTGTCGCCAGAATTGCGAGTATTAGACTTACTGTAACTTCTAATTTGGCTGCATAGACTGGAAAATGTTCACATTTAGTTATGTAATGTTGGAAAAGTTAGGAGTTAGTTATACATAAAAATGTTTGCCATTGTATCCATTTTGAATTGTCAAGCTGTTGCTTTAATTGTGATGATCATGTTGATGTGTAGAGAGAAAAAGAAGTATCCACATATTTGCTTTTGCTATATCTAGAATCGCATTTTCTAACTTCAGTTGAGTAGAAATGTTTGATATTAGACGTGCATGAGGTAGGAAATAGAGAGCATGTCAATTTAGGGCTTCAATGAAAGTTCACGAGAAGAATTGAGGATGCCATTTCCACTTTCACTTTGTCAAAATTCATTGAAAACATTAAGGCCCCGTTTGGCCATACATTTTGGCAACGTTTTTTTCAAATCTTTTTTGAAAACATTGTTTGTCCATAGATTAATGATCTATTTTTGAAAAATTTCTGAAATTATTTTTCAAGTTCCCAAAATCTAGTTTAGGGTAGATTTTGGGTGAAACTTGTTCTCCCACTCACAAAACTTCAAATTTTTTTCAAATAAAATGCATGTTCAAACATAATTTAAACTTCCAAAAATTATTTTTCAAAACTAATTCAAAAATTATTTTTTTCAAGTTTCAACTAAATCTATATCCAAACGCTAGCTAAAATGTTAGATTTGGTAGTCCGAACCTTCCTTTCCTCTCTTTTCTGATAGATATCTCCATCTGGGTGCACTTCACTTGGTCGTGTGCAACTCTAATGTTTTTTTTTCTTATTTTGTTCATAGCAACTACACTCTTATTGTGAGTTTGCAGTCCGCTGATTTCTGTTAGGGTTATGGCAGGAGAAGTCCAGACCAAAAGGGGTTCAACAAAGTCAGGGTGTACAGGCCCATTCGCGGAGGTCATTAGATGAGAAGGTAAAAGAGATGAAAGATCAGGTGATTAGGGCCAAAGTATACTTGAGTTTTGCCCCGCCAGGTAGCAACTCTCATTTTGTGAAAGAGTTAAAGCTACGAATTAAAGAGCTAGAACGAGCTATGGGTGATGTTACAAAAGATTCTCGTTTGTCAAGGAGGTGAGATCATTTTTCTTGCCCCCACAATATCCACTGAACAGGCTACGACGTGCTCCTTCATTTGTTAAATATAAAGCTTAATCAATGCAGTTTATAGAACCTGGCTCATTTGATCTGTCAATTTCTAATCAGCAGCATAAAATCTGTTTGGTTTGAGTAGTGGCTTTGTCGTGCTATGATCTGTACTAACTGAGACTGCTCTAATCTTAGCAGAGGATAATTTATTTAGAGTAGAAGTGGGGTATAAGTCAGTCAAGCTATTGTCTCGTAATAGACAAGAATATTTACTTGATATTGACTCAGGATATTTGAAATATATTGGTTGACCTTACTGACAATTGTTTAAAATAGGCAACAAATACTGTTCTTTAATACTCCCTCCATCCAATTTGTTTGATGCATTTCGGATTTCGAGAGTCAAACAGGTTTTCTTTGACCATGATTTTTTTCATATCTTTTAAATATTTTAATTATTAATTATTGTGACTTATAGTACTTTCGATGTAGTTTCCAAATATGTAAGTTTTATTTCAAAAAAATTAAAGATTTTATATTTGAATTGACGGTCAAAATTAAGAAGTTTGGCTTTTGAAATACGAGATGCATCAAACAAATTGGGACAGAGCGAGTAGTTAATATGTTGTATGTATAATCTAAGAGTAGCTAGCTTTCCAGGGCAACACAGAAGATGAAAGCCATGGACTCGACGCTGCTGAAAGCGAGCAGAATGTACCCTGATTGCTCAGCTATGGTGAAGACACTTCGTGCCATGATGTATAATGCTGAAGAACAGCTTCGATCACAAAGGCATCAAACTTCCTTCCTTGTACAGCTTGCTGCAAGAACTGCTCCGAAAGGCCTTCATTGCCTTTCCATGCGTTTGACCACTGAATATTTTGCCCTGCAGCCTGAGGAGCGGGAGCTTCCTAACCAACATAAATTCCAGAATCCAGATTTCTATCACTTTGCTGTCTTCTCAGACAATGTTTTGGCATGTTCTGTGGTTGTCAATTCAACTGTTTCAACTGCTAAGGTATGCTGCTCCATTTTTTCTTTTTTCTTTTTCTCCTCATCACCTTTCTTTTAAAATCCCTTATTCCTTCATGTGCTTTTCGTCTTTCCTTCAATTTTTCCCTTTTCCCTTTATATAATATAGCAACATTAATTATAGTACGATATGGATGGCCTTCAGAGGAAACACCTCATTTTCTTGGGTTAGTTTACACTTTACAGTGTTTGTCATCATTTTTTGGTCGAACTGTAGGAAAGAATTTTTGCCCCAAGTTTGGAGGTGACAAATTCTAGGTCATGCACATAAATACTACTAAGTTATAAGGATATAAATGAGTATTACTCAGGCATCAGTCTTCACTTCTGCAAAAACATTTTCATGATCAGTTGCTTGCCTCTGCCCATTTTTATGATTGCAGTAGTACTATCCTTTCAACAGCTAATTAATGCAATAAGGATAGGATAAGCGGAGAAAATTTGAAGGTAAATGTTTATGTACTTGCAGGATCCAGAGAGAATCGTCTTTCATATAGTGACTGATTCTGTTAACCTGCCAGCCATGACAATGTGGTTCTTGATGAATCCTCCCGGCAAAGCTACAATTCAAATTCAGAGCATAGATAGTTTTGAATGGTTACCAACCAAATACAACGAGGATATGAAGAAGCAAAAGGGCCTTGATCCAAGATACGCTTCTGCATTGAACCACTTGCGCTTTTATCTGCCTGATATTTTTCATTCCCTGGACAAGATTGTGTTCCTCGACCATGACGTGGTTGTGCAAAAGGATTTAACCAGACTTTGGGACATCAACATTAAAGGTAAAGTGAACGGTGCAGTGGAGACTTGTCGTGAAGGTGAGCCTTCATTCCGCCGAATGGATATGTTCATCAATTTCACAGACCCCTTGGTGGCAAATGGTTTTAATGCAAATACATGCACATGGGCATTCGGGATGAATATATTTGATCTACAAGAGTGGAGGAAACGAAACCTAACTGCACGATATCACGATTACTTGGAGCTGGTAATAGATCTATATCCTGCTGTTTGCAAATTGCTGTTTTATTATATACTCTTTTCCTTTTATCGTCATTGCTAAAAACATTTAGTTTATGTCGTTATGTTGATGCAGGGAAGTAAGAGACAATTACTGAAAGCTGGTAGTTTGCCAATTGGTTGGATGACTTTTTACAAACACACACATCCTCTAGATAGGCAATGGCATCTCCTCGGATTGGGGCATGACTCTGGCGTCGCACAAGCTGAAATTGAGCAGGCGGCAGTGATTCATTATGATGGAGTTATGAAACCATGGTTAGATATTGGGATACAAAAGTACAAGCCATCTTGGACAAAGCATGTTAGCTATGAACATCCATATCTGCAACAGTGCAATTTACACTAGTAGTAATCTTGATCCTAGAGGTGTAGTTTGAGTTATTCCACTTCACTATGATTATTCTTTTCTTCACAGTGTAGGAGCCACTTACATCCACCTTGGCGCAATGGTAACAAGTTCTAGCCGTGTGACCAGGAAGTCATGGATTCAAGCTCTGAAAACATACTCTTGTACAAAATGCATGGTCAGGTTGCGTACAACAGATCCTATGCAGTATGGCCTTTTCCAGGATACGTGCATAGCGAGAGCTTAGTGCACCGAGCTGCCTCTTTTAGTGTAGGGACCACTCCTGTTAACCTGATTCTTTCCATATTGATCCACTATATATTCTTCCTTTGTAAAGTTCAACTCCCCTTGTTGCCCCTTTTTTCTCCACTTGAAATTTTACACAAACTCATCCCAAATAGCAATAACTTTATTTGAACATTTTCTGAGATGGCTTCTAATTTCTTTAGATACGTTAGAAGAGAGCGTGACTTTAAATAATAATTTGACATTTTGAGTCTTAGACAAATCACATTTGATTTAAACTTGGATCCTTAATCCATTTGTGTGGCAAAGATGAAAGCATTTTGGCCTTAACTCATTTTTTGGTAAGACAACTTTCTTTTGAAAAAACCAATTCTGCACCTCTATCATTTGAAATCCTTCAAATTGTCCCTTTTCAAGACTTCGACCATTTGATTTCACAAATGAAAGTTATTATTTTAATTAATTTAATCAATCACTTTACTCTATTTCAACACTCAATATTTAGCCTTAATTAATTTTTTAGTTCGATCGCTTAACCATTTAATATGGATCTTAAAGGGTGCTTTTAAAACTTTCTCTTTAGATTACTTGAACACTTAGAATCTTTAGGTTAAATAGACTAATTGACGGAGTTATACTTTATTACATTGCTTTAATTAATTTAGGTGTCCTGATCACCATAGAAATAACTAGGTGGCGACAAACAAAAACTCGAAATTACCAATATGTTGTACCATAGTTTAACTGAGAGATCTGTACTGATTATTTTCTTGTAACTTGATCTGCAGTGGTTTGTTGATGACTAATCATACTGCTTATTTGGTTTTATAATGTAGCCAACATTAGAGAATACTGAGTATTTGGTTTTATAATGTAGCCAACATTAGAGAATACTGAGTATTTGGTTTTATAGTGTAGCTAACATTAGAGAATACTGAGTATTTGGTTTTATAATGTAGCCAACATCAATTATTATAGGACAATATGGTTGGTCTTCAGAGGAAAACCCTCAATTTTCTTGGTTAGTTTATGGTATTTGCCATCATTTTTTGGTGGAACTGTAGGAAAGAATCTTTAGCTCGAGTTTGGAAGTGACAAATTCTAGGTCATGCACATAACTACTAGTAAGTTATAAGGATATAAATGAGTATTATATAAATGAGTATTACTCAGGTTTCTACTCTTCTGCAAAAACATTTTCAAGATTAGTTGCTTCCTTCCGATAAGGGGAGCCTTGGCGTAACTGGCAAAGTTGCCATGTGACCAGGAGATCATGAGTTCGAGCCGTGGAAATAACCTCTTGCAGAACTTCAGGGTAAGGCTGCATACAATAGACACTTGTAGTCCGACCCTTCTCAGGGTGCATAGCGGGAGCTTAGTACACCGGGTTGCCTTTTTTTCGTTGCTTCCTCCTGTCCATTTTTTATGATTGCAGTAATACTATCATTTCATCAGCTTATATGCAATAGGGAATATGCATAAGTACCCCCTGACCTATACCCGAATTCTTGTCACACCCCAGCCTTGGGAGGTGTGGCTAGCACCCGATGCCCGAAGGCCCGAGCGAACCAACAATGAGATATGATCTGAAATATAAAGAGCCCAACACGACATATATATATGACCTAGGCCAACAAGGCTGCAACAACAGTATAACAACTATCTAGAAGGCCGATAGGGCCATACGAAAAATATATATATACAATGACCGCTAGTCTGCAAGCCTCTAAGAGTGTAAGACAATCTCAACAGGGCGGGACAAAGCCCCCGACATGCCCAAAACCACACATATACATCTGTAATAGTACCTATGGACTCAAAGTCAGCAACTCCGAAGAAGTGGAGTGCGAAACCCAACGCTGATCCTGGGGGTCCTACTGAGAAGGCACGCCACTCTGTCTATCCGAACCTGTGGGCATGAACACAACGCATAAAAATGTGTCAGTACGAAATATGTACTGAATATGTAGGGCGACAAGTGTAACATAAAAAATGTAATTAACAAGAGAAGAGATATAAAGACAATTTGAATTCTGAAACTAGCCTCGGTAGGAAACTAAAATTCAACATGAATATAAATGTATGCTCGTGAAATCGTCATTCACTATCGCTACTTATAATATATCACATTATAT